TTCTGTTTTAAAGCATTTGAAATTGCTGCTTGATTTAAAGGAGCCTGAAAAATATTGTGGACTGCCACGGTCCAGCTGGTGTGATTATAGAGTCAGATCTCAGCACAGCCGTTGAGACAGCCAAGGCAGATGAAAGATTGTACCTAGAGGATACTACTGCTACATTATGTTCCTCTCGCTGCTGACCCGAAGGTTGAGGCCTTGTAAAAGATTGAAAAATATACCAGTTATTTAGCATTAAGTTCAATTTAAAACTCAACAGAGGATATAACTCACTTTTCCATAACTCCTCTGGCTTCTTCCTAGCACAAACCAATGAGCTGGTAAGAGAACAGGTGAAAACAGAACAATACTATTTATAAAATCCTCATGGAGGAAGAAGGAAAATAAAACAATCTTTGCTTTTTCTGGGAAGCTCAGCTCCCCTTTGTTGTGGCCTTGTGAGAGGAGTCTGCGTGCTTTGGGATGGCAGCTGCTGTCACACCCTGCCTGCCTCTCTCCCACCCTGTGCTCCATCCTCAGAGCTTGCTGGGAAAGCCGCCATCGCACGCGGCAGCCGGGGCGCTTGCAACGAGGGTTGCTTCATAGCACTGAGATGACTCGGGAGGGCAGAGGCGTGGGCACTGTATACAAGTGTATACAAGTAGAGCAAATCACAACCAGCTGCCAGCAGCTTCATCCCCCTCGCAGGTGCTGTGCTCCTTAGTGGGAGAGATGGGACCTCAATGACTGGCCCTCCCTCCTCCCATGAAGGGGCTTGCTGCAGCATGCCATCCAACCTACACAGCAACTCCTTTTACCATCTGCAGGCACATATTAGGCCTTATCAGAACAGTTTTATTTGGCAAGACAAAGAAATCATCCTCGTGTCAGGTCACTTTGTCCCAGTTTCATACCAAGGTGCTCCTATCGGCAGCAGTCTCATTTCAACAAGCTAGTAACATACTTAAAGGTCTATGAATTAGCAAAAGGTTCCCCACAGCTGCTCCTACCAGCAAAACAAAGTTTAGAAGTTTACTGAACACAGGTGAGCATTGAAGAAGCCTATGCACGTGGCTGTGCTGTTGCGTGGGGTTGCGTTGGCCTAAGCAGGCCGATGGGAAGGCCTCTGGCAGCGTTATGGCTGTTTCTGCTCTTAGCTGCCGTATGAACCTGGCTGGGACTAACAGTATTTTTGCAGTGCCTGAAGGGGTCCAGAGGGATTCCCTTCTGCCAGGGGGATATGCTCCCCCGGGAGTGGCATGGGGGAAGGCAGCTCCAGATGTCCACATTTTAATCACAGAATTCTTTAATTTGAGGAAGCACATTCCTTTGCCTTTAGTGTTGGACTTTTCCAGAATGCATCTCAGAAAAGTTTTTTTTTTAAAAATATTCATTGTTCTTTGAGTGCTTATTGCTGTTCACCTTTGATATAAGCATTGCGACTGTTCTTACCTTGTTCTTGTAGTGGGAAATGAAGAGAATGCCAAATTCATCCTTGTGTGCATACCACCCCTTTCAGTGGTCAAAGTGAGGGCTTCCGCCACTGCTAGCAAAACGAGATGGCAAACCATGCTCATCAGCTCTCCTGGTAGTCTGATGTCCCATCTGTTTTTCCTGGGCTGCGAGAGGTTGTGCATGCTGAATGGAAGCCGTGCGACAATCCCAGTCTCTCTGGGACACCATACAGTCAATTTAAATAGACCTTTTGTCTATGTATCATATAACTACATTAGACATTATATTGTAATAACAAGGTCCCAAAGAGCCATCTTCAACCTTTGCCTTTGATAAAATTAAAACAAAAATTTAGCAAATGAAGCTGCTCATGCATGTTTGATGAAAAAGCATCAGTATAAATAGACACTGAGAATAAGGCACAACAAATAGTCAGTCTGTGTTTTTTGGTTACTTTGTGAAGAGGCTCCAAAACTGATCATTTGTTAGTCATCTGAAACTGTGACCTTCCAGTTTTTGTTCTTATAAATAACAGTCACAACTAAAAAAGAGCAGGGAGGAACAAATTCCAAAGCATCCATCAATTAATGTAAATACAAATGTCTTCTATGGGTCTGCAAGAAGATGCTCAAAATATTTGACAAATAGCACATTTCCAGCATTCAGTGTTAGCAATGGATGTGCTGCATGAAAGGCAGGAAACTTGATGAAGGAGTAGTTGCATATTGAGATGTTTTATTCCTTCCTCAAGCAAGAGCTTTATGATATTTCATCCCCTACTTATTTAGGAGAAATGTACTATTTTACACAATAATAACTGCTTTGCTTAAGTGACAGTGGATAACTTTTGCCTCTTCAGAAAATCCTCCAGATTTGATTTCTCTAAGCTGATTATGCTTTTGAAGGAATGAATAAAGACGACTAGCCTATCCTTACATTTTCTACACAGGTCGTCTGCAAGAAAACATTTATTTTGGTTTAAACTCAGGGAAGCTGTAATACCTCAAAACATTCATTAGACGTGATTCAGAAACAGACACAAATTCTCCACAAGGATGAATCTGCCACCCAAGATGCTACAAATGGCAGAGGTGAATGCTGACTTTGTGCTGGCGCTACAGAATAATGAAACACCGATGTGTGACACCTAACAGCCTGCTGCTTAGCAAGACATACAAGATGAAGAATACTGGTTTTATAATTAGGGCTCAAATGGCAGTTCCTCACAGTAACACCCTTCTCTAAACTCTCCATCTCCAGGATCCACCTAAGCTTAAAAACCATGAAAAACCTGTATTTGCTGTGCTTGCACGGAAAACGCAGTGCCATCCATGCAGTGTTGTCTGAAGGTTCTCTGCACATGAAAACTACTATGAAATAACCATGAGATGGAATTAAAACTTATCACTTCATGATTACCTTGGTTGGTCGGACCTTTACACGACATTCATGGAGACAAGCTGAAACAAGTGGGACGCCAGGAACTTGACCTTCATAAATCTGTAATTAGGCTTGTCTTGCTCCGACAGCCCTAGAGTGCTTGTTAAAAAAAGCAAAACAAACCAAACTGACAAAACAAAGAGAAAATCTGTTGGTATCTTGGCATAAGGCCACTCTTACACAAGGAACCAAGTATCCCGAGTGGCCAGTCGCTGTCCGGGTGGTGCCAGGAATGGCCATTGCAAGGGCCCTTGCAGAGGCATCTCCGGCTGGCTCAGGTGAGACTCCCACTCTTCTGGTCACCATCCAGCTGCCCCATGGTGATTATGTAGGAATCAAACAGCACGAACAAGCCCGTACAAAATGATATTTCAAATTTGGCACATTACAGCATTTCACTGAAACACCAGCTTAGCCCCCGTGGCAGTTTGAACACATCAGCAAAGAGCTGGGACTGAGTCACAATTCCTGCTTCCTTAGGCTTACACATCTGGGCACAGCATCGCACTGGTAAAGAGCGTGCTCCGTCTGGAATTAGCAGCGCCTTTAGCCAGGAACAGACTCAGCCCCCATCATAGGGGAGGCGAGGGAACAGTGCAGAAAAGACTGAAGTGTATCCGTGAATCCAGAAATGAACACATGGCTGCAGAACCTCACATGGCAGAAGAACATGTGCTGCACAGACCAGGGCTAATAAGGGACCTCATGGTCCCCCAATTCCCAGGAGCCCTGTCCCTAGGCTCAGCCCCTCCACTATCCTAAATATTTACAGGTTATGCATCCCATCTACATTCCTACTGGAATTAATGCCTTTTTGCAATTAATATTTTTACTTTCATGCACATTTCGGAAAAATCACTGATTTATGGGTTGTAGCATCTTTACATGTTCATGCATTTCATGATTTCGACATATTACTAGCTCGTATTGCCAGTGCATATTAAACAGGAGAGAAACGGATTCATGGTCAGACTCCCACACCTACATCTCAGTGTCAACGTGTAACAGTCCACGTGAAAGGCGACTATCAAAAGGGAAGTATCTAAACTCCAGTTACGGTAAATAGACGCCATGGCATGAATCAGCTGCGTAAACAAAGGCACCTTGTGCTCTTTGCAGCACACTCAACCACCCCGCTCCCAGCCTCCAGCTGCCCAGCTGGAGGGGCACGACTGGCATCTGGCCAGCGCAGCAGCAGTTAAGACACTGCAGGGTGCCTCAAATGCCCGAGACTTGTCCCAGCAGGCACCTCCAGCATCTTAACAGGCACTAACCCTTGCACAGCAGAGCCCCTAGTCAATGATCAGTTCAGGTATCCTTTTGAGATGCATGCGTTATAAAACATACACAAAAAACAGAAATAAAAGAAGGATAACTATGAAATAAACACTTTTGAAAAATATTCTTTAAAAACGTTATTTATTCATGGTACAAAAGAAATACGTGATGGTCTTGTGTAGTCCCAAGAACACATGCACCCCACTTTGGACACCACTACCTCAGACCTCACAACCAACGGCGACACTGACCCAGCTCATAAGCACACACGCTCGCGTTTACACGTGACACACAGAGAGAAGCCAGCTATCTGAAAAGAAGTTCAGTAGCAAACTAATCCCTGGTGGAACAGACTGTATCATGTGGAATCACTGAACTGTCTCTGTACTTTGCAAATAGTTGCGGGAGAATTTGCTGAGGCATAACAGATATTTGTTGATCAAATCTGGCAAGAAATAGAGCACTGCCCAGAGTCAGCATTAATGTATTTACAGAGGCACTCCAACAAAGTAATTCCATAGTATCTCTATCCACTGCTTACTGACAGTTAACTATGGTGCATAGCTTGCTACAGGATGGCAGGTTTTGTTTTCTAAGTTAAGCAACTAGCAAATTTTCTAAAAAGGCAAGAACTGTAATACTTCAGATATACAGATCCAACAGGAGGGGAGTGTTTTGACTGAAGTTCAAAACTACAGGTTTACTCTAGCGTTGTGCTTCTCCAGAGCCCCCAAACATTTATGGAGACCCAATATTAAGTCTAGAAATTGTTGAGTTAGGGTCACAGTCTGGAAGTTTAATGTTTTGCATCCAGCAGATTCCGTAAGAGGTAATAAAGGCATCCTTTAAGGAATCTTCTCTGATGTTAAGACCTGAGAAGCACGGCAGCGAGCCTAAATAAAGGTGGGGAGAAGGGAAAGAGAATAGTTTAATGAACAAAAATAGAAGTCTAAAGAGCATTTTCCAAATTAATAGTTTAGTAAGCTTAACATGTATAACTGTTTTATTTAATCTTAATCAAATGGGAGTTTCAAGACAAAATCCTAAATAGTTGGTATTTTTAAACATAAATCAAATCTTTGAAAAGAGGAAAAAACTAAGTACCCCACACAAATCCAATACAACACTCTTGCTTTACAATCTGGGACACGGTAAAAGGTTTTGCCAGTAGGAAGAAAAGAGGATGACTATTTCATTGCTATTCCTGACATGTTCAGGGCCAGAAAACACAAGACAATGACCACCTCATTTCAACGTACAGATGTTAAATGCAGCTGAACAGGCAACTCAGTCACCGGGTTGTCCTGATGCCTGAACATGCTGAACAGTGCAGGTAAGACACCACAGAATAGGAACATGGTTCCTCAGAATCAATTTGTTAGTGTAGGAAAGAGAATGCTTAAGAAACAAAAACCACGTGACATCCAGCTGAAAACTTCCAAGGTCTTAAAAAGTTATAATGCCCAAAGTGAAACATGTGAATAGGATTTACAAAAATGCCAACAGCTCAACGACGTAAGTTGCTCAGAGCTGTGTTTTCAGTCTATGACGTTCTAAGTACTTTCAGAAAGCAGAATGCACTAGTCCTAGTGTCCAAGCTGAGATGGTTAGGCCTCTACTCGTGCACCCTTGTTCTTCAACTATCACAGGCTAACAGACACCACATCACTTTACAGAGTTGCAATAAAAAATCCTGAACACAATTCTGGACTATGAATTCTTTCTAAGTACCTTGAATGCCCACAATAAGTTACTTTGGAGAAAATATTCTATGAAAATGAAAAGAAAAAACACAAAGGCAGCCTAATTTACATATGCAAACGGTTGCAAGCTTCATGAAAGAATCAGAAGTTACCAGTTACATCAATGCAGCATGCATTTACTTCAAAAACCTTTTTCGTATGGATGTCCTGTAATAAGTCAGAGAATAAGCAGAAAGTAGCAAAGAACGATGAGGAAAGTGAAAAGATGTAAAAAAAAAATGCACCATGCAGCCGTATATGTGTATGCTTCTGAGTATTAAAGAAGAGATTAATATTCCCGTAAATTTTCTTACACAAACTACTTTCTGAAATACTTACAGCTTTCTCTTCCAGTGAGAGCACACCATCTACAGCCACTATCTGGTATTGCTTTTCTTTTAAGCTACCCACAAATTTCCGAAGTAGTTTAAGACCAGGACCATCACTGTTTTGTTTTAGCAGTTTCTGCATTTCTTGGGAAGGACATCCCGGGTCAAACATTAGCAAACATAAGGTTTTATTCTTCCTCTCTTCTATTCCAACAACAGTACGACTATGACCTAATTTCAAAATAGATGTTTAGTATTTTAAAAACACATAAATCCCATTTACTTCCTTGTAGCATATTACATATTTTCAGATCAAGGAAGATATTACTTGCCATTTAATACAGCAGTTGTAACTAAAGAGCAGATGTCAAAAAGTTGAGATCCCAGTCATACCCAGCTCTTCCCTCTAATTAAAATACCAACTTTAATGTTGCTCTTACTGAATAGAAAAAGTAACGGGAAATAAAGCCATGCCTTTAAACGACAAAGGAATGTAAAATGCTGCTCTGAATTGCAGCACATATAAAAAAAAACAGGAAACAGAAAGAAACCAAGATATTGTGATACTGACCTTGATGTTGCAAGTAGATAGGTGGTTTGGAAGTACACACTACCTTTGCACAACCTTCGTTATCTGTAGTATAGTAACGCAAAATCCACTCAAATAAACGAGGGTGTGTACCCACAGGGCCAGTCGGTTTGTGAAAGTCAATGATTTGACACCTACAGAACATTTAGAATGAAAACGATTAGGCTTCAAGCAGGTTGTTTGTTAAAACACAGCAATTCCAGGCAGTAAGTGGTCATTACCACTTTTTTTTTTTTAAAATGCAGGAGGAAGGGCCACATATATACTCTTCAAAATGGGAAGATTTATTCTCTAACAAAGAAACACTCTACTCTCTTCAGTCTAACAAGAATTTGTGAAGTTTACAATAATTAAAATGTTTGATTTTTTTGTAGAAGAGCTACACATACACTAGAGAATCCAATCAACGGTTTTCAGAATGATGCAAGTAAATAGCTGAAATTCAGATTCTTCTTGAGAATAAACTTCTAGAGAAATTAGGTTTTTAATCCATGCCTGATGTGATGCACGTGGCATAATTCTTCACCAAGTCTCAGTGATCTTCGTAGTTATTCAATTTCTGTACCTGCATAAGTAGTTACACAGCTTTATGCTGCACTAAATCAGATCTGTTTATAGGTTGCTTAAATTTATAGCCACTATGGTGGCTTTATCATCTCATTGTTGGCAATTCTGACCTTTAAATGTACAGCACATAAGAAATAACTGAAAAATCAACAATATTTACTTTATCCTGAGACTGGTTAACAGTGAGTAGATTTCACACGCTCCTATCCACGCTCTGGAACCGTGTAATCTGTTGTTGAAGTGAGATGCCCCATGAGGATCAAAGCCTTCTCTCCAGGCATCTTCAATCATGGACTGAATCTTTGGTATGCTAGGAATCAGTGTAGTATCTGAAACAGAAAAGCTTTTGAATTGCGGTTATAGATACTGAAATAGGCTATTAATTAAGAAAATTCAGTTTATTTTTAAACAGGCGGGTAACGTTACAAAGATGCACCAGAAAACCTAAAGGTAAAACTTTAGCCACGTGATGTTTGCCAGCATCCACCCCTCTGATTATTTCCACAGTAAGTTGCAGCGATACAACAAGCATTTAATAGGTATCGTGGACCTAGGAAGCCTCACTGTGTAAATGAAAAGGTAAAACATGAGTCAGCAGGTTGTCATTCAAGGTACATGGCACAAATAGGCAGCGTTTTGCTTAATACCTCTCAAGCAGTCATTATACAAGCTGTTTTGCAACAGGGAGGAAAGGAGCATTTGGAAATTCCTGTAACCGCAACCCCAGCCTCTGTCGCCCATAGACGAGTGGAAGTAATGCTGAAAGCCACACGTGCCTCACATCTTTGTTTTCATTCTGGTAGTACTTGCACAGTGCTTCAATGACTCCTAAAAGAACACCAAATACAAAGTTTACCTGTAAAATGAACTACAAGATTTGACAGAAAAGGATTCTTTCCCAAGCTTGTAACAAATACAGGTTAAGATAATTTATTTTAAAACTTCTAAGCGATCCTGTGTTACTCAAATCCCACACCAGTGCACATCGCACCTGTCTCAATTCAATGATCTTCATTGAATTTATGTACCACAAAGCTTTCAAAATTCAACCTATTTTGTCACTACTGCTACACAATGAATATTTTATATTAAACACCTTGGACTACGTTATAAGCTGTGATATGCACAGGAACTATTACAATGAAAGAGGGAAAGAAATCTCACCAATAAAGCATTTCTATGTCACCTCCAGTACAACATCCCCTTAAAACCATGGCAATACTACACATAGTATGTAAGAGTTTTATGACCCCTGAATTACTTTTCCTGGACAAACTGAGACAAGAAAAGGAATGGCACGGAATCTGAAAATTACTGTAAATACTA